CTCCCTGAGTGCTAACAATGATATTATTGACTATAAAACAAGATATACAAAAAAAAATCAATAATTATTAATTTGTTTTTTTTAAAATAAATAAATGTATTAAATATTTAAATTAAATAAAAATTTTACCTAAAATAATAGCAACAATAATCTGTTGGATAATAAATTTATTATTATTATTATTAAACATATTGAAAATTAATGTTTTTTTAATAATAATAATACTAATTAAATAATGTCAAAAAAACAAATAATTTATTTACTATACACACATAAAAATTCATATAATATTAAATTATTTTAAAAAAMAAATGTATATAATAATTATATTGAATAAAATTATATTCAATTTATTTTATTTGTAATTTTATAGACTTTTTATAAACAATAAAAAAAATTACACAAAATATTGACTAATAATATCTATTATAATTAGTTGAAACATATTTATTTTTAAAAAAATTACAAACAAAACAAATTCAATGTTTTATTAATTAAAAATTATTAATAAAAACCAATTGTGAAATATAAAACATTGATCTATATTTAATATAACAACAAAATAATTGCCAATATTTTACAAGTTTTATGAAATAAATATTAAGTATTATTATTAATATTACATTTAATTTAATTTTTTTAAAAATACATAACTAAACAAACAAAAAATTATACATTGAAAACATGTGTTACAATTTTATAATTAAAATATAATATTAAATATATTTTTAATAATAATAATAATAGTTTTTTTTACAGACTATTGATATTATATRTGTAATAAGTGTTATACTTATTATAAACAGTTTTTTTAAAAGTTATATATAATATTAATTATTAAAAATAAATATTGTATTGTATTTACATAAAAAATTGTTATTAAAAAATATTTTTAAAAATATTTTAATATATATCTATTTAAAAAAAAGTTATTTATTAATAAACTGTAATTTAGTAATTAAAACATTTTAGTTAAYAATATAAATAAAAATGTTATTAAATAACAAATAGACTGTTACTAGTAATAATTAAAACAATTTTAATATTTTATAATATTATAAACTATTATTTTTTAATAATTTATTTTAATAATGAAAAAAATATAAAAATAATTATTAACTATCATATATATATATATATATTTTTGACTACATTTAACATTTAATATTAAATTATATTAAACATATTATAGTTATTATAACTATTAATTTATTATAGATTATAATAAGATAGATTTTTTTGTTTGGATTATATTTCTGATTAATTTTTTTTTCACTCAAAATCATAATATCTATTCACATATTACTAATTATTAGTCTATTTGTATCATAGATTTGATTCAACATTTGATACATTAGTTGACTTTGTCTATGGCGGCCATTGGCCGCAAATTTTGTGGCCAAATCGTAGACAGATTTTTCAATATTCAACGGTTTTACGGTAACATTGGGTTCGGTAGCTTCGGGTAGTGTTGTTGTCGGCTGGCCATTGATGTCCATAATTTTCGGTAAATCGGTAGTAGTTCCGATTGGTTGACCACTATATTGGCCGACCAGTAATACTAATGCCGACAATATTAYTATAAAACAGTTACTGTTAAATACAAACATTATATATAATAATAATAATAATGTTTTTAATTTTTTAGTGAAAATATTAGTAAATAATTATAATTATTAAAATAAAACTTTAAAAAAATTTTATTATTAATATTAAAATTATTTTAATAAAACATTACTTTATATATACACTATATATATATATATATATATATATAGATATTTATTGCTTCATTGATAATAAAATAATTGATAATTTTGTTAATTAATTAACAAATTTTTGTTTATATATTTATATTCAAGAAAATGATTGGTTAATAATTTTTGTTTTTAATTATATCCATATTTAATAGTAATTTTTTTGTTATTTCAAATAAAAATAGATAATTTTAAATTAAATAAATTTATTTATTTAGATAATTAAAGTTATTATTAGTTTTTATTATAAAAATTTTTTTTTAATAAAAAATATATATATCTTTTATATATATAATATAATATCATTAAACAATTAAACTTATTTAATACAAACATTTTATTTACATTTAATAAAAAAATTATTTAAATATAAACTTTAAATATTAAATTTTATTTAACTGTAACTTAAAAAAATATATATTTGAATTTATTATAAATTACTATATGTTTATACTTGTATTTTAGATAAAATATTTTTAACAAATATGTTTTTAGACTTTACTTTTTTTTAACTATATATATATATTATTATATCATATATTTTATGACTAATATATTTTTATTTTTTAATGCTGTAATATAACTGATTTTCAAATTATTAATAAAAATTTTGTTGTTAGAAATTATTGATCAAATTAAAATGCAAATAATTATAATTTTTATAAAATAAATATTTAAATAAATTATTTAAAAAAAATAATAATTAAAGTTTATTACATATTTGAATATTTTCATAACAACTAATAAATAGACAAAAAATTGTTTGTAATTTCAGATTATTAATTAACTTTTAATAAAAAAATAATTGAAACTCAAAATAATACTTAATTTTTTTTTATAATTTATTAGTAGTAATAATAATAATACTGTAGTAGTAGTTAATATTATAGTATTTGTACAAAAAATTAATTTATCATTTTCGGGGGCTGTAAAACATTATCCTGGTAATGTCCATCAATGTTACCCGGATGATAATAATTGCATACTACATAATAGGTTACATAGTAATCATCATTATAATTATAATCATCATCATCAGCACCATTATCATGTTGACTATAGCACCGGGCACATCCCATACGGGTGCTACCCATCCAAACCAATTGTGTAAAGTGTCCAGTATATTTTTTGGACGATAATCTAGCCGGTTCAATTGCATAGTCATACTGATTGCTCTTATTGTACCTTGATAATAATTATTATTATTTTTTTAAAATTATATTTGATAATTAGTTTATTGACATTATTTAACTATTATATATATATTGTTTGTTTATTTTTATTAAAATAAATATCTATATATTTATATAATTGTAGTTTTTTAATTTATTTTATAAATAAAATAATAATAAATAATAATTTTGTTTAATTATTTAGAAAAAAATATTATTTATATATTGCCTACTAATCTAACATTACTAAACTTTTTTAAAATCTAATTAAATTTAAACTATTATGTATTTAAATTTAATATACAGTATAGTTAATATATAATCAAAAAAAATCTAATTAATATACTGTATATAAAAATAAATAATAAATATATATATAATTTACAAAAAATATTTTTAAATTTTATTATAAATACCATTTATCTATTGAATGTTTACAACTACTACTACTACTATTACTACTACTATCGACCATTGTATCCATACTAATAATTGATCTGGCTAGATTTTCACCATAAAATTTACCCTGGTAATTATTATAATTTTTTAGATTATCCAACTGGGCTATCAATTGGCACCTGGATCTAGCATACTCTACTATCTAAATAAATATTATTAGTATCATTAGTAGTAATTAATTAATTAATTAATTGAAAAATAATAATTAAAAACCTGTAAATCAATGGTAACTACCGGTGCTTGATGTCGGCTCCGGTAGCTATTAGTCCATTTCAAACAGTCCTGTTGAAAGTTATCATGATCAGTTTTATCTGTATATAAACTTTTACTATCAATAGTATTACAATTATTATTATTATTATTACAATTATTTTTATTACAACAACAGTTATAATAATTTCTAGTTATTCTCATATTATTTGTATTAATAATAGTTATTAATGTCAATAATATTGTTATAAAAATTAACATAAAATTTAAATTTTTTTGATAATACATATTGTTTTAGTTGTTTGTTTTTATATATAAAAAAATTTTTGTTATCCTATTTTTTACTAATAATAATAATAATAATTAAAACTTAATAAACTTAATACTTTTAAACTTAAATAATTAATGGAATTTAACATTATTTATAAAATTTTTTATTTATTAATTTATTTTTTTTTGAATAAAAAAATAAAATGTGCACGATAATATTGTCTAGACATTATATAAAAATATGTGTTTATAATATATTATTTTTTTTAAAATTTACTAATAAATAACAACAACACAACAACACCAAAAAGTTTTTAATGACATAATAAAATTTTTTATGTATTTTAAAACTTTTAATAAATATTTAAATAGTTGTAATAATATCTTTAAAATTAAATAATTATTAACTTAATTATTAAATGTGAATTTTAAAAAAAAAAATTAAATGCATTTTAGTAGTCATAGTAAAAAAATTATTTACTAGTTATTTACAATTACTTATACTATTTATTATCTAAACTTTAAAATTAAATTTTATTAGTTAACAAACTATAATATTTAAATAAGTTATAATTATATTTATAGTCATAATTAATACTATTATTATTATTATTATTATTATTATTATTATTGGTGTATAAGTCTAAAGATTTTATTAAATAAAAGAAAATTAATTAAAGTTTATTATAAGTTTACTAATAATTAATTACATATTTTCTACAGTAATAACAATTTATATATTTAACAAAAATAATAATATATTTTTTGTAACACATTTTATTGCAAATAAAATTAATACTATTAATTCAATATAATTTTAATTAATTAATTGATTACATATTTTCTAAAACAATTTAGATATTTAAAAACAAAAAAAAATAATAATGTATTTTTTGTAGCATTTTTTATTTATTGTGAAACAATAAAAAAAAACAATAAAATCAATTTTTAAAAAAATATAATACTAATAATTCAATATAATTTTAATTAATTAATTACAAATTTTTATAATAACAATATAATTAACAAATAATGTATTTTTATGTAACATTTTTTTTTAAAATTTATTGTGAAACAATAAAAAACAAAATTAATAAAAATATATAATACTAATAAAATTCAATATAATTTTAATTAATTAATTAATTAATTAGCTTTTACTATTGTTCAGGTAAAACATTATCCTGGTACTCTCCTCTAATATTACCTGGTGGATGATAATCGCATACTACATAGGTTTCATAGTATTTATCACCTTTACCATAGCACCGGGCACATCCCATTTGGCTGCTACCTACCCAAACCAATTGTGAAAAATGTCCAGTATTATGGGATGTACCCGGATTATCGTAATCATAGTTCAAGCCCTCTTTGTACCTTGGTATAAATTATAGTAATTATTAATTTATTATAAAATATTATTATTGTAGTAATTATTTATTTGTTTCAATTATTATTTATAATAAATACTATATTTATATWTMWATAAAAAAAYTATTGTATTACTAAAAACATTGTTRATTATACTRTATWAATATATTGTTAATTATTATGCTAAAATATATATATATTAAATTAAAATAATTAATTAAATAAATTATTATTATTATCTTATTAATTAATTATTAAGATATTATAAATAATAAATTTAAAATTAAAAAAATAACAATAATTATAAATAATTATATAAATAATTATTATATACTTAATTAATTAATATGATATGATATAATAAATTAAAATTTAAAAAAAAACAAAGCAAACATTTATTATAAATAATTTCATAATTTATAGATTATAGATATTTTTTTAAGTATATATAACAAAAAAAATATATATATTGAATATATATATACCATTTTTCCAGTGCCTGCTTACAGGTGCCGACCACATCCTCGCTGTTACCTTTCCAGGCAAAATTTTCGCCATACAGGTGCTTATCCAGTCCCCGATGATGATTATCTAGCCGATGAAACTGTGACTCCAATTGGCACCGGGACTTAGCATACTCTACAATCTTAATTAAAATTATAATTAAAATTTAATTAATAGGTTTAGTCCATACTTTCGGATCGATAGTAACTGGCGGTGCCTGATGTCGGCTCCGGTAGTCGTTGGTTGTCTTGAGGCAATCCTGTTGAAACTCGGGGTCAGTCATGTCCGGTAGGGGATCCCGTGCCCTACAAACTATAGGTTTGGTTTTATGCAAAAAAATTATTTTAATAATAATTATTTTATTTGCTAAAAAATACCTGAAACCATAAACATTATTAATATAATTGATTTCAAATACATATTGTATACAAGTATTTATAATATATAATAATAATAATTGTAAAAAAAAATTATTAATATTAAAATATTTTATTAAAAATTACTGTATTTATATACTGTATATAAAATAGTATTTATTATGTTTATTGCAGCATCAAAAATGTGCATGATAATTTTTAACAATATACAAAAATTTAATTAGTAAATTTCCAATAACATATTTTGTAATGTGACTGGTGATTTTACATTTTTTTCAATAAAATTTTAGAAAACTTTTAATAAAAAACAAACAATTATTATATAAAATATTATTGTTTTTTTTTTTAATTAAATTTATGATTTTWAAAAAAATATTTTAATTAACTTAAAAGAAAAAACAAATTTATTTTTGAAATATATTAGAAATAAAAAATAAATTATTTAAAAATTATATATATTTTATTATAATTATTATTATAATCATTTACTTTAATTAAATAACATTAATATTTTATTAGTAACCACTATATACWGTATATAATAATTAATAAAAGTTTATTTTATTTTACAAATTTAATTAATAAAAAATTTAAAAATTAAATTAAAAATAATAATATCTATATTATAAAAAATTAAATAATAGACTTATATTATAATTATGATTATTATCTAATTTATTATTAAATATTTATTTCAGTCAAAAAATATAATTAATAATTATTATTATTATAACACRTTATCAATAAATTGTTGATTATTACTATCAATACGATTGCCTGCCGGATAGTAATTGCACACTACATATGTTTCCCACCATTGACTACTACCCTACCATGACATCGGGCACAACCTACCTGTCCGGTTGATTTCCAAACCAGTTGACTATAATGGGATGTTTGTTGACTATAGCCAGGCCTGGTATACAATAGCATTTCATTGTACCTTGGTAACAAAACAAATAAAACAAAAATTGTTTAGCTAGCATATTTGATAATTTATGGGGGGGAGASTCATACATACCACATATCAATAGCTACACTACAGGTGCTTACAATAGGATTGGTGTCGGCTTTCCACGACTGGTTTTCCCCGATAGCATCCCTGACCGCCATTGAATGGCCACCCATAAGCCGATCAAATTGGGAGATATACTGGCATCGGGCCATTGCATAGTCTACTAACTATTAAGTAGTAGTATATTAATAGTTAGTTAGTTAGTAATAGTTAGTTATTAATAGATAGTTAGTAAAAGTTAGTTATTTAGTAATATTTAGTTACCTATTAATAGTTAGATATTTAGTAATAGTTAGATATTTAGTAATAGTTAGATATTTAGTAATAGTTAGATATTTAGTAATAGTTAGTAATATTTAGTTACCTATTAATAGTTAGTTAGTAATAGTTAGATATTTAGTAATAGTTAGTAATATTTAGTTACCTATTAATAGTTAGTTAGTAATAGTTAGATATTTAATAATAATTAGATATTTAGTAATAGTTAAATATTTAGTAATAGTTAGATATTTAGTAATAGTTAGATATTTAGTAATAGTTAGTTACTTAATAATATTACTAATTGTTTAATTACTAATTTTTTGTTAGTAAAAAAACTAATAATAAACTAACCGTTTGATTGAGTCTGAGTACTGGTGCCCGATGTCTGAGCCGATACTGATTACTGAGTTGTAGGCATTCATTTTGAAACCTACTGTCCATAACAATAGGAAATGGATCCCTGATCTGCAGCTGACAGCTACTAGTTTTAACTAAAAATGTAATTAATAATAAAAATTAAATAAAATTAAATAAAACATATTATATATATATTGTATTTAAATAATTAGAATTATTTAAAAACTTTTATCTTAATTAAATTTTAATTAAAATTAATTATATTAAACTAAATTATAGTTTTATTTTTGAAAAAAATAAATAATTATTATAAATAAATAAATAAATTAATTACTTGTAACTAATAATACAATATTTATTAATATTATTAGTTGATAATACATTGTCTATTTGTTAGTGTATTTTATAAATAATATTAAAAATATTAATATCTGTATTAGTTATCAGAAAAATATTTAAACTTTAAAATAAAACTAAAATGTATTATAAATTTTATGTTTTTTTGACACTAAAATACAATTGTGTTCAATAAAATGTGTTTAAATTTTAAATAAAAAATTTATTTTATTATTATATTTTGTTTTGTTTTATTACTAATAATAGTATATATAAAGAGAAAACTTTTGTAAATTTAATAATAAAATACATAAATATTGTTTTTATTTTATTTCAATTATTTAATAAAAATTAATAATAAATACAATTTTACAAAAAAAATTATAAAATTAAACAATGATTACTATTTAAAAAAACAATTCTAATGTAATTTAACCATAACTTATTAAAATCCATAATTTAATTTATTTTTTTAGTAATACTGTAGATTAATAATAAAATATTTAACAATTATTTTTAATAAAATAAGTAAATTTATTTTATTACATTTAATCCGATATTATGTTATATATATTTTTTTGTTGAAAAAACAAAACAATTTATATATTTTACATTAAATTTTTTTATTAAATATTGATTTACACAATGATTAAACAATGGTTGACTAGAAATATATATATATAAATTGAATTAATTGATTAAAGTAAATGTATAATTAAAACTAAGTTATTGAAAAAATTATTATAATATTTCTATAAAATACAATATAATACACACACACACACMCAAAATATTATAATTAATTAAATAATTTAACATAAATAAATATTTACACATATTTTTTACAAAAAAAAAATTAATTAATTAAATTACTTCCTATATTACAACAAAATTAATTATATTAACCTAATTAGACAAAAAAATTTTGGTGTTATATTAGCTAAATAATAGTTATATTATTATTTTTATTTTTAGCATTTAATAAGTTTTTATAAATTATTTAAATTTATTTAATTTTTAATTATTTATTTTAAAAATGACACTAAGTTTGATCACAATTTTTCTAATAATATTTAAATTAGTTGTTTATAATACACAACAATTGTCTATAAATAATCAGCAAGATAATTTATTTAGTGATAATAATAATAATTATGATAATAAAATTATTAATAATAATAATTTATTAGATCAATTAAGTTATAAACTTAATTTTTATGATCATGGTGATTTTATGATGAACAATGGTCAACAACAACAAATAGCATCAAGGTTGTCAGCCGATAGTTATGATATCGCACCGGGAGGTAGTAGTAGTAGTAGTAGTAGTATGGTGTCATCAAAAATAGGAAATGTTAAGTGACTTATAATTTTTTTTTAATGTAATAATAAATAAATTTATTTATTTATTTATAAAATAGTATATAAATAAAATATTTACATATTGTTATTATTAATTTAATAAATAACTAATATTTAATTTTTTAATAGATTAATTAATAGTTATTTATTAATTTTTAATTTTAATTAAAAAAACATTTATATAGCTAAAAAACATTCAAAATCGCATAAACCAAAAATCAAGAAAAATAAGCAAGCTAAATCGAAAAATGGTAATATTTAATTATTTATTAATAAATTAAACTAATTTTTTATTGTTGTTCAAATATTATTTGAACCMAGGTAAATCTAGCAAAGCTAACTGTCCACCAGGCAGTAGTAGTGGTAGTGGTAATAGTAGCCCAGGTAGACAACCGGCTAGTAGTAGTATGCAACAGGAGCAACAAATTGTTATCAATGTACCTGAGGACATAATACCTGCTGGAGTTATGGTAGCACCTATAGGACCGGCACAGTCAGGTCCAGCACAAGTACCTGGACCACCATCAGGATCGCCTACTATAGCACCTCCCAGTGCTGCTACTACTGGAGCTCCAAGTAATTATAAATATATATATATAAGTATTTTTAAGCATGTATATTTTTTCTATAATTTTTTTTAAATAAAAAAATAGGTAACGGTGCTGCTACACCAGCAATCACTACAATGCCCCAGCCACGTATGTAAATTATTATTTATCTAGGTTATTTTATTAAAATTATTATTATTATTATATACCCAGAGTGTGCCGATAGGCCGGCACTGGGCGATACAACTAACGACTCGTTTGAACAAGAGTGTCTGGGTCCAATTAATACTGATAGATCGATGCACAGTGGACAGGCATTAACCATAAGTCAACAAGTATAAATTATTAGTATTATTTTTAAATTTAAAATTTTTAGTTATTTTACAACAACAAAAGTAATATATTTAAAAATTTCTTTTTAGAAATAACAGTTAATTATGATTTTTATGAGAAAAAACAACTAATTATTATTATTATTATTATTAAATCTATATATATATTATTATTATAAATTTTATTTAATTTTTTTTAGAATTTTAGTTATTTTACAAAAAAAAATAATATATTTAAAATTTTTTAGAAATACTAATTAATTAAGATTTATATGAGAAAATAATAACTAATAATAATATCTATTAAGTCTATTATAATTATTATTATTAATTTTATTTAATATTTTTAGAATTTTAGTTATTTTACACAAAAAATAATATATTTAAAATTTTTTGAAATACCAGTTAATTAGAAAAAACTAAAAATAATAATAACTATTAATTTTATTTGATATTTATATTAATTTTTTTTTAAAAAATTAGCTAGTACAATATGCCAGATCCAGGTGCAATACAATATCCCAGTGCGAAGGTCTGGCCAATGGACATGCTGGTCAGTTAGTTTTTTTTTAATATTATTATTATTTATAAAAAACATAAAAATATATTATAAATTGCTTATAATTATTTTAATATTAATTTTATTTATTTATTAAAAAATTTTATTTTTAATTTAATTTTAAATTAATTAGGTTTAACAATGTACGGTGAAAATATATTTTGGTCTGGCGACACTAACAATGTTACGGCAGCATGCTCAGCTGCAGTATCTAATTGGTAAGTTTTTTTTAAAAATTAATTTATTAATTTAATTAATTAATTAACTAACTAAATTTAACTAGTATAAATATTGGAGGGGGGGTGGAATTAAATATAAAAATTATAATATTAGTAGCAATAGTATAGCAAAAAAAAATTATAGCATAATTAATAAATTCAGTTAAAATAAAAAAACTAAATAATATAAAAAATAGATTTATATAAACTATTATTATAATTATTTTTTTTGACAAATTAATTTATAAATATAATTTTAAATCATAGCAATTTCGGTATCAATAGTGTAATCTATTTAAATTATTTTTCAAAATTTATAAATAAAAATTATTAATTTCTATGTATTATATATTTACAGTTTATATATAGATAGAGATAAATTTTTGTTAAACATTTTTTTAAAATATTTAACTTTTACTACATTATTAAAAATAACTAAAAATTTTAGTTAATTAAAAAAAATAAATTTTAAATAATATCAATTTAGTTTTCAGTGCTATCATCAGTATTCAATGATATATTTTTGAAAAATTTATTAATAAAAATAATTAATTTCTATGTATTATATATTTACAGTTTATAATTGTAGATAGAGATAAATTTTTGTTAATTTTTTTTTAATTTATTTTACTACATTCTATAAATATAAAATAATAAAAAAATTTAATTAATTAAAAAATATATTTTAAATATTATCAATTTAGATTTCTATGCTATAACTATTCAGTGATATATTTTTTTTAAATTTATAAATAAAAATAATTAATTTCTATGTATTATATATTTACAGTTTATATATAGATAGTGTTAAATTGTTTTATTAAACATTTTTTATAAAAAAATATTTAACTTTTACTACATTATAAAAATAAAATAATTAAAATTTTAGTTAATTAAAAAATAAATTTTAAATAATATCAATTTAGTTTTCAGTGTTATCAGTATTCAATGCTATTTTTTTGAAAAATTTATAAATAAAAATAATTAATTTCTATATATTTAAAATATGTACAGTTTATAAATAGATAGAGTTAAATTGTTTTGTTATACATTTAAAAAAATATATTTAATTTTTACTACATTATAAAAAATAAAATAATTAAAATTTTAATTAATATCAATTCATTTCAATGATATATTTTTTTTAATTTATTAACAAAAATAATTAATTTCTATGTATTAAATATTTACAGTTTATAAATGGGGAGTTAAATTTTTAATTAAATATTTATATAACCAGTACTATATTATAAAAAAAATTAGAAAAAAATTAATTAATTAATTAAAAAAATAAAAATTAAAACCCATTTTGTATGGGCACAGGTATGATGAACGCACTGACTATGACTACAATATGCCCGGTTTTAGTGTCAAAACCGGCCACTTTACCCAATTGGTTTGGTTGGCCACTGGCCAGGTCGGGTGCGCCCGATGCGAGGGCCGCGGCTCAATGTACTACGAAACCTATGTTGTATGTAATTTTGAAACGGCCGGTAATGTYGATGGACAGTATGCCGATAATGTTAAACAATCGTAATATAATTTATAGATATATATATTTATATAAAAAATTATTTAAATTTAATTTATTTTAATATTAATAATATAATTGATAATATAATTCTATTTCTATTTTATTTTATTTTTGTAAATATAATATTAATATTTTTTTATTTATTTTTTTGATATATAATTATTTATTATTTATTGATTTTTTGTTAGTAATAATTTTTAATGTAATAATTTTTTGTCTAATGTCTAGATTTAGTAATTTTTTTTTAATTATTATTATTACTATTTATTTTATCTATGTGTTTTATTATTGAAATAATTTATTAAATAATTTATTATATAATTTTTTTAAAATTTCAATAATACAATTATTATATTGCATTTAATTTTTTTAAAATCTATTTTGTTGTTGTTTTTGTAAATATAATATTATTATTTTTGATTTATAATTATTTTATGTTATTTTTAGTATTAATTTTTTATATGTATTAATTTATAATATATTATTTGTTTAAAAAAATAAAACTTTTGTTTTAAATATTTTTATGTTAAAATTATTTAATTTATATCATTATAATTTATAAATAAAATAATTATAATTTTTATAAAAAAAAAATAATATTATTATTTTAGTTTAATTTGAAATATAATAGTTTATGTTTATATAGTTTATTTGTGTGTGTGTGTTAAATAATTATAAATAATCTAACCTTGTAGATATTTGTTTTCATACAATGTATTGTGTTTTTTACTTATTTGGTTATATATATATATATCGTATATATATATATATATATATAACATATCCTATTACATACATCGACATATATTATAATTAAACTAACTAAAATGTAACTTGATGATTATATTATTTTTATATAAAAAAATTAATATTATTTAGTATTGTATTATTCAAAATACAATATATATAAATTTATATATTAGTAGATCTACTGTACTATTGATATATAGTATAGATATTTTGTATTAATATATTATTATAAAAGTAATATTTATGGTCATAAAGGAAATTACTAATACTATTAATATTATTTAATAAAATTTTTGTTTTAATTTTTACATTTTTATCAATTTATTATTGATTATGACTTWTATAATGTATTTAAAAATTTTATAATTTTTTTTAATGATGTAATTATTGAATGTAAAAAATATCAATATTACTATATTAAGTACTAATATGTATATATATATAGCTWTATATATATATATATATATATATATATATWTGGTTATAAATAAAAACACAGTTTTAAAAAATATTATTTTTAAAAGTTTAATATTAAAAAAATATTTTAATCAATTTATTTGTTGTGTTAATAATAAAAAATAGCATTTTATAAATTATTATTATTACTATTATTTTTTTAATTATTTTACTTTATGGCATTTCATCGATTGATAAAATATTTATAAAAAAATTAATTTTATTTAATTTTTTTTTTGATAAAAATCGAGTTTTGCCATAATGCAAGATAATTGAAAATTAATTTCAACACAATTATTAATTAATTAATTAAATCAACTTGGTAACAATAAACATTGGTAAGTCACACTAAAAATAAAACTATTTATAATTAATATAAATTTATTATTATTATCTATTATGTAAATTGTTTGCAATACATACTGTATTATATGTTTTAACTTTTAAATATTATATTTAAAAACTATAATAATATTGTATTAAATTTGTTAAAATTTTTTTTTATTATTTAAAAAAAATTATAATTATAAAATATATAAAAAAATTTGATATTGATAAATATTTAAAAAAAAAAATAAACTAACTAAATAAATAATAATATAAATATTTAATTACTTAAGTAATTTGTAATATTTTAATTCATGTTTAAAATAATACTATTTATTAATTTATTTATAAATAAATTAAACAATGTAAATAATTACAATTTTTATAATACTATAAATTTAAAAAAAATAAAAAATAATTAAAAAATTCTAAACTATTTTTATAATTARAAAATTTTAAAACTATTTWTATAATTAAAAAAATTTTAAAACTATTTATATAATTAAAAATTGATTAATCAATTTTCAATTTTGATTGATTACGGCTGACAACCAATTGGACAATTGTACCGAAAATTACCGCCAATTCAATGGCAATGAATGCCTGCATCCATGAATAATGTTCGGCAATTAGACTGAGGGGTAGTCCTGAAAATACGGCACCGACTGTCCAAAAAAAWATCAATTAAAAAAAAATAATTAATTAAATTAAATTAATTTATTTATACTTTTGGCCGCAACGTTAACAATGGATACKACAAGTCCCGATCGGTTAGGAGGACTTAGTTCACTGGCTATGACCGTCARGTTGACAACATTACCCGAAGTACAGACACCGATGCTTAGGGCTATCAAAGTCRTSWATAGCCACGWGGACTGGTAGCCAATKGTAAAACAATAGCAATACATGGATAGGCCGGTCCCGACTTGCATGGCTATAGTTACCGGTATACGAGCCGCTAGTTTCAAATTACTATCAATAATAGTAGCGGCGGTATTACCACTAGGACTGGTAGACTGTCTAATGATAGCCCTATTCAATAGACAATCGCTTAGTCTGCCGGCCAATAGTTTACCAAAAATACCGCCAATTTCGACAAAACTAACAAAACTAGAGGTCAGGTATACATCTAAATGTTTTTCTTGTATAAAGTATAGTTGCGACCAATCGGCTACTGATGTACGGGTCARKGAAACGGTAAATCTGGTCAACAGGCATGACCATAGTATCGGGTATTGTATGAGTTGCCAGACACTAGTAGTAGTCCCCGTGCTTGTATCGGTAGTATTGTTGTTGTTTTTAGCCGATTGGCTAACTGGCCAYTGCTTACTAGTGTTAGGCAATAGACTAGCGCACAGTACGGCAACCAATAGGGTCAACAAACCCGATATCTGGACAACCTGTCGCCAATGATATGACTGTAACAACAGGGATGTGACCATCGGGTTGACAACGCCGGCACAGTTAACCGATATCAACACCACTGACCAGTTAGTGGCGAAACTGGTCGCCGGACTCAACTGACGCGTCAGTTTGATTAGGGCTGGCATTGCAAAGCCCTGGCCGAGGCCATTGAGGAACCAGTAGCCGGTGTATAGGCGGACCGATGATCGGCTATTGCTGGCAAACAGGAAGGTCGCCGCCGAACATACGGCCAGACCGAAACAGGTCAAGTGTTTGGCCGGTAATCGGTCGGCTAGTATGCCGGCCGCAAATGTTACAATAGCCGTGGATACGGCCTGTGCCGATACTATAGTACCTATAATTGAATGTATAATAAATTTAAAAATTAATTTTTTTTAATAAATAAAAATTATATTTAGGTTTAATTATTTTTTTTGGTGTTAATAATTTTAAATAATTATTATATTTAAGTAATTAATTAGTTATTTAAAATTTAATAAAATTAAATTTAAATAAAATTTTTTTTGAAAAATAATTTTAAATAACTAATTAAATTTTGTTGTTTTGTTGTTTGATTAGTTTAATATACAAACAAACAAACAAAATTTAATAAATAATAAATATATTGAGATTTATATATTAATAACACTAAATATATATATATATATACTGTATATACAGTATAAAACTAACAGTAAATATTAATATATTATTTATTAATTTTTTTTGTATATTAAACTAATCAAACAACAAAACAACAAAATTTAATTAGTTATTTAAAATTATTTCCATATTTTATTTAGTTTTAATTTTATTAAATTTTAAATAACTAATTAAATTTTTGGTGTTTTGTTGTTTAATTAGTTTAATATATAAAATAATAATAATAATAAATAAATAAATAATATATTAATGTTTACTATTAGTTGTTTTAAATACAGTATATTATGTTATTAGTTGTAATTAATATATTATATAAACTGTAATTATTAATTAGGTGTTAATTTMTAAATGAATTTATAATTAATTGTTTTATTACTCATATAGAAAATCTAAACTAATTTTATTTTTTATATATATATATATATTTTTAAATAAAATGTASCTAAAAATAAAATATAATAATATTGTTTTAAGTATTATTATTATTATTATTGATAATTAAATCACTGTTTTTTTTTAAACAATAAGTGATATACAGTATAGTAAAGTATATACAGTATATATATATATATATAATGATAACATTTTTTAATGAACTATTTAAGTGATTAAAAATATATATTTATATACTTAACAAAAATAATATAATAATACTGTAATTAAGTTTTTTTTGAATCAATTATATATATATAAATTTATATATATTATATATATCTAATCACAAACAAGTAGTCAATTCATAATTATATTATTATTATTATCGTAAAACTGTATTATAATAGCATATAATTAATTAATTACATTAATTTAGGAGAAAAAATAATTATGTTTATAAAATTTATTTTCGTTATTTAATTATAAATTATTATTATTGTTATTACTTTAATAAATAATAAAATAAATAAATAATTTTTTTGGGGGGTAAATACCTGCTTGTTGTTGGGTTAGCCCCTCTTGAATTAATTGGGGAAACACTAGTGTAACACATTTGCGATTAAAAAAATACATAAAATATGCCATAAATGCCAACCAAAGGCCAGTCATCTCCGATAGTTGTTTAGTAGTCATACTTATAATATATATATTATTTTAATTAAAACACTAATTTTATAAAATATATCACAATTTTAATATTAATTTTTTATAATTATAATAATTCACAATAATAATAATAATAATAATTTTTTTTAAATTATACAATAATTTATTGATATTGCGGTACAATATATATAAGGTATAAGTAGTACTGTTTAAAAACAGATAATTCAAAATACAATAATAATTTTTATATATATATATATAATTTTGATTATAAAAACTTATTTTTTTGTTAATGATTTTAAAAAAAAAAACAAATAATACAATCATTTAGTATATAATATAGTAGTAGTTAACGATCTAATAATAATATTAATACTAATAATACTGTTATTATTGATTAAACATTATAGAAAATAATCAGATATTAAATATAGTTATTATTTAAATCAATAAATCAAAAAATAAAATATCCTTAAATCTATAGTTAGTTATCACATAATAATTATAATTATTATTATTATAGTATTAATAAAATAAACAAATAATTTTAACTAAAATAAAACATTTAAACTAAATTCATTACTTTTAGTTTTATTTTAYAWAWATAAAATACTAAATAAAACTTTTATTATTATTAATTTGACGAAATTGTTATTGTAATATTAATATTAATAATTGTTATAATTTATATATATATATATATATATATATTATATTGCAGTCCATATGTGTGTATGTTTTACAATATAATTTATATCTGCCATCATTTGATAGATTAAAAATAATATTATTTTTTTTATTTAAACGTCACTAAATATAATAGCAACTATATCAAAAATAACATAGCAATATATACAGTATATATACAATATATATACTGATAATATTGATTAGATAGTGCATATATATATATATAAAATATAAAAACTGGGTTAACCAAGGTTATGAGCTAGTTTAAATTTAAAATTCAAAATTATTATTATTACTTTCATAAATCCTTCAAAAAAATTTAAAGTAAGATTTTTAAAAAATGATAAATTGCTATTCAAATATCACATTCAAATATAACATTTTATTTTATTTTTTAAAAAAAGTATTTAGTATTATTAGAAAAATAACAATATTTACATTTAGTTATTAATTGTATTTTTTAAAAAAATATTAGTTAATTATTAAATCACAATTAATTACAATATATAAAATGTTAATATATATTATATATAATTATAATAACAATAAAAATTTAATTTAACATAAATAATAAATAAATATAAATTATTAGTTTTTAAAAAAAAAATATATAATAGTTTCATTTTACACACAAATAAAAAATTATTTAAAAAAAATTAATTATTATTTTTTTTAAAAATATTAGTAAATTATTAAATCACAATTAATTACAATATTATATATATATAATTATAAAAACAATAAAATCAATAAAATATAATTTATAATAAAAACAAATAAATAATAAATTATTAGTTTTAAAAAAAATATATAATAGTTTCATTTTACACACACAATTAAAAAAAATAAAATTAATTTAATTAAAAAAATTAATTTTTTAAAATTTATTGTGTTTGTATCAAAATAATTGCATAATTAAATATATAGGACATTATAATAAACATGGTAATATCTTTTAGGTGAAACATATTCAATACGCTATAATAAAATGATTGACGCATCGATACAACCAGTTTCAGGTGACGGTAGTCATCCGGAGACATATAGTCACTCAGGGCTAACCTATTATCTATTGAACGGCACAGTCGGGCCATAGAGTCCTGAATTAATTGCGAACAACGGCACAGACACCACATATCCAGACCTGAAGTAAATATGTATAGACTGACTGCCAGCCGATGTTTGTTAGGCATGTCGACCACCAGTGCCAGAGAGCACAGGCAAGTGGCCAATAGGACTGAGTTGACTACCAGTTTGACAAATAATAGTAGACCTGTCCGTTGGTTTAATTGATCCAATTGTTGACGTGTTTGGACCAATGTTTGACTGATATGTCGACACGATTTCAATTGATCTGATTCACAGATTTCGGTTAAATCTAATGTATTGTAATAAATAATTAATTAAATTAGTTTTAATTAATTTAGTTTTAATTAATTTAGTTAATTAATGTAGTTAATTAATTTAGTTAATTAATTTAAGTTAATTAATGTAGTTAATTAATTTAGTCAATTAATGTAGTTAATTAATTTAATTTAATTAATGTAGTTTAATTAATTTAGTTTAATAAGTTTAGTTTCATTAATTTAGTTTAATTAATTTAAGTTAATTAATGTAGTTTAATTAATTTAGTTTAATTAATTTAGTTTAATTAATTTAGTTTCATTAATTTAGTTTCATTAATTTTGTTTCATTAATTTAATTAGTTAATTAATTTACAAAAAAAAATTATAAATAATTATAATTAATAATATTAATAGTATAATAATAATATTAATAAAATAAACTACTAATAACTATATATATTAGTAGTTAATAATATTATTATTTCAAATATAAAAAATAAATATAAACTTTAAACAAAAAATAAATAAAATAAGTAATTTTAGACAATATTATAATTTTTTTGTTTAATTAAAAAAAATATTAGATTTAAAAAAAACTAAATTGATAGTATTATTTGTTTATTATTTATAAATATTAAAAAAATTAAATCTTATTTAATAATAATAATAATAATAATTACCGTTAATTTGATTTTTGATAACAAACGCAACATAAATGAGCAAGCTAACTATAGCAATTTTTTCCATAACATGCAAATTGGCATTGATTATGAAAAATACGGCTTTCCATGGATTAATACTATAGTAGTCTAGGATAGCCTGTTTGAAATCGACATAATTGAGCATGGTAGCACCAGCATAGCTAATGGCCATCAAGTTCATAAAACCATGAATTAACCAAGCTTGTTTAGTTGATTGTAAAAAACCTAGTTAAAAATTTTGAAAAATTAAAATAATTAATAATTTAATTAATTAATTAATTAATACACAATTATTATATTATTAGTAGTAATTTATCTAGATCAATTGTATGGTTAATTTAGTTTCAATAAACAAAAACACAAAAATTATCATGGTTGTTTTACAATGTACGCAAACACATTATTATAATCAGTATAATATTTAATTAAAATATTAAAATTACAAAAAAAAACTAAATTAATTGATAAAAATTAATTATTTGCATAATTAAATAAATTAATAGTAGTTTTATAAATAATATAATTATTGATTAAAACACCAAAAATTTAAATATCAATTAAATGTAAATTAAAATATTTAAAAATTTTTAATACAAAATATAAAATAGGATTTTTTTATATAAAAAAAAATAAATACTAATAATAACCAAAATAGTGTAATCTTTGATATAATCTAAATATATTGAAAAATTAAAATTTATTTTT